GAGGGAAAAACCACCTTACCTATAGAGGCACAAGGACCAGGATTACATGAGTGTCCTCAGAAACCACGGGAACAGGAGGGTGGAATGAAATAGTCACTGTGCTCAAAGAAAAACCACCAAAGAGATCCATATCCAGTGAAATAAGCAAATCTCGAGGGCATTTGTTGCCCGTAGACCTGCCTTGCAAGAAATGTTATTTATTTATGCATGTGTTTCTTTTTGGCTGTGCTGGGTCTTCCTTACTGTGAGAGCTTTTCTCTAGTTGCAACCGGCCAGGAGCTACTCTCTCCACTCCAGTGTTCTTGCCTGGAGAAGCCCAGGGACAGGGGAGCCTGATGGGCTGCCGTCTATGGGGTCGCACAGAGTTGGACACGGCTGCAGCGACTTAGCAGCAGCAGCAGCAGCAGGAGCTGCTCTCTAGTTGCGGTGCACGGGCTGCTCATTGCAGTGGCTTCTCTCGTGGCACGCAGACTCTACAGCACAGGCCCAGCAGTCGGGATCCATCAGCTTAGTTGCACCTCAGCATGTGGGATCTTCCCGGATCAAGGATCAAACCCGTGTCTCCTGACCTGGCAGGTGGATTCTTTACCACTGAGCTGCCAGGGAAGCCCAAGAAATGTTAAGGGAAGTTCCCTGGGTATCAGCTCAGAAGCATTTCTGGATCTTTTCTTCCTCTCCTCACCTGAGACAGCAAGTTGGGGGGCTGCCCTCCCTGTCAGTCAGGCAGGCTCAGGAAGAAAAAGAGAAAGAAAACATTGTTTTGGAAGAATGACTTCCCCTGTATTTCTATTTTCTTCTGGATTTCTCTTTGAAGCATTCAGTTTTCTTCTTTTTGTTTTACTTAGAATGTCATTTAAAAAAATTTTTTTAACCCAACTTTATTCAGATTTTTAAAAAAATATTTATTTGTTTATTTGACTGCTGTGGGTCTTAGCTGTGGCATGCAGGATCTCAGTTGCAGCATGTGGGATCTAGTTCCTTGATCAGGGGTTGAACCCAGGCCCCTTGCACCGGCAGAGCAGAGTCTTAGCCATTGGACCACTGGTAAAGTCCCTAAAAACAAGTACTGAAATATTCACCTGATAGAGTTCACCTACTTAAAATGCACATTTTAATAATTTTTAGTACATTCATAGAACCGTGCAATCCTAGAATAACCTAGTTTTAGAAATTTTTGGCATAACCCTCCAAAATCCTGTCCTTATTTGTCATCACTCCCGTTCTCCGCCCAAACCCTAGCTGTGAGCAACCACTCATCTGCTTGGTGTCTCTAAGGACCCGTAGAGTTACCCACTCTGGATGTTTCACAGGACTGCAGTCCCGCAGTGTGTGACCTTGTGACAGGCATTGGTGTTGTCTGGGGAACAAAACCATCTGCTTCCTGCCTGCTCAGTCTGCTCTGAGGGGCAGGGCCTGGCTGGCCCAGCTCTGTCTGGGCATGACCCTCACCCAGAGGCATGGTGGCTTGCACACGGCTGCTGAGCTACTGGTTCCTCCTGGGCAGTGCCCAGCTGAGCCCGAGAGTCCTGCTCACAGACATGTAGGTCACAGGGGCATCACCAGGTGCTGCCTGCCAATGAGAACAGCCTGCCCGGGAAGCTCTGAGGGTGCCCTGGAGAGCCGGACAGCAGAAGAGTCAGCAGAGGTCAGAGGAGGAAGGTGGAAGGCCAGCGGAGGCCAGGCTGAAGCATCCTCTGAGAGAGGCAGGAAGAGGGTGGGGAAACCGAAGGGACGGAGGTTCAGGATGCAGCCCCCGTGATGACATCTGGGTGCCCCTCCATCCTGGGGCCTCACAGCAGAGAGACCCTCTGGGGACTGGCTGCCCAAGACAAGCAGGCATGACTTTGCGTGGTCCAAACACCAGGCCACTCCAGCTGGGAGCTTCTGGTTGGCGTGGTGGTGTCCTGGCCCCATTCCACCTGCCCAGCACCTGGGTGAACCAAAACCCTGGCCACACCTCTTGTTGTATATTTTGTTCTCGGCGAACATTATGTTTTAACCCCCTTGGCTTGTCACTGCATTTGTTTCGCTAAAATCTGATGTGTCAGCTCCTAGAGTGGGGAATTTGCCTTCATGCTATTTGATAATGCATTGAGCTTGCTTGTCCATTTTTTCCTATGGTAAAGTATACAAAATTTAAACTTTCCACTTGTAAGTGTCCAGCTCGGTGGTATTAAATACAGTCACAATGCTGTGCAGACATCACCACAGTTCCTCTCCATACCTCTTTTCATCTTCTGTTTTTCACTATTTAATTTTTGGTGGCAGAGTCTCATTTGCAGCACGTGGGATCTCATCACTGCAGTGGGAGGGCTTTGATCTAGGTGTGGTACACATCCTATGGCATGTGGGATCTTGGTTCCCCACCCAAGGGTCAAACCCAGGTCCTCTGCACTGGAAAGCAGATACTTAATCAAGGGGCCACTAGGGAAGTCCCAATTCTTTTCATCTTGTGAACTGGAAGCTCTATACCCATTAAATACTAACTCTCCATTCCCATCCACATAGGTCCTGGCACCCACCGATCTACTTTCTGTCTCTGTGATTTTGACTAATCTCAGTACCTCATGTAAGTAGACTCATATAGTATTTGTCCTTTTGTGGCTGGTTTATATCACTGAGAATAATGATCTCAAGTTTCATCCATGTTGTACATGTCAGGATTTCCTTCCTTTTTAAGGTTGAATAATATTGCATTCTATGTACACACCACATTTAGTTTATACAGCTATGCTTTCATGGATGTTTCCACTGTTTTGTTTTTGTTCAGTCCCTAAGTCCTGTCTGATTCTTTGTGAACCCATGGACTGCAGCACGCCAGGCTTCCCTGTCCATCACCATCTCCCAGAGTTTGCTCAAACTCATGGCCATAGAGTCAGTGATGACATCCAACCATCTCATCCTCTTTTGCCCCCTTTTCCTCCTGCTCTCAATCTTTTCCAGCATCAGGGTCTTTTCTAATAAGGTGGCTCTTCACATCAGGTGGCCAAAGTATTGGAGCTTCAGCTTCACTATCAGTCCTTCTAATGAATATTCAGGGTTGATTTCCTATAAGGTGGGCTTCCCTGGTGGCTCAGCTGGGAAAGAATCTGCCTGTAATGCAGGAGACCTGGGTTTGATCCCTGGGTTGGGAAAATCCCCTAGAGAAGAGAACTGCTACCCATTCCAGTATTCTGACCTGGAGAATTCCATGGACTATTCATGGTGTCGCAGAGTCAGACATGACTGAGTGACTTTCACTTTCTTTTCCTTTAGGATTGATTAGTTTGATCTCCTTGCAGTCCAAGGGACTCTCAAGAGTCTTCTCCAGCATCAATTCTTTGGTGCTCATCCTTCTTTATGGTTCAACTCTCACATCTGTACATGACTACTGGAAAAACCATAGCTTTGGCTATACGGACCTTTGTCGGACCTTTTCCACTTTTTGGCTATTGTAAATAATGCCGGCACAGAACGTAAGTGTGCAAATACCTGTCTGAGTCTCTGCTTTTAGTTCTTTGGGGCATGTACCCAGACATGGAATTGCTGGTCATCTGGTAATCCTATGTTTAATTTTTTTGAGACTTGCATTTTTTATAACCAGGTGATTGATTTACCCACCCTTCCCTCCATCTAACACCTGACTACCGCTGGCCAGGCATAGTTGGATGCCAGGGTATAGGATAGCACTGGCCTCTGCCCTAATGGAGTTACAGTCTAGTGGGAAGAGCTGATTTTACTAACCAGCAGCATTTATTGTGTGCCCCACGTGTATCATCTCATGTGCTGGCATGTATGCTAAGTCACTTCAGTCATGTTCAACTCTATGCAACCCCATGGACTGTAGCCTGCCAGGCTCCTCTGTCCATAGGATTATCCAGGCAAGAATACTGGAGTGGGTTGCCATTCCTTTCTTTAGAAGATCATCCCAACCTAAGGATTGAATCCGAGTCTCTTACATCTCCTGCTGCATTGGCAGGTGGGTTCTTTACCACTAGTGCCACCTGGGAAGCCAGTCAATATGTTGTGTTAGTTGCTTCAGTTGTGTCCCACTCTTTGCGACCCCATGGACTGTATCCCGCCAGGCTCCTGTCCATGGGATTCTCCAGGCAAGAATACTGGAGTGAGTAGCTGTTCCCTTCCTCAGGGAATCTTCCAGACCCAGGGATTGAACCCAGGTCTGCTGCATTGCAGGCAGATTGTTTACTGCCTGAGATACCAGGGAAGCTCCAGTGAATGTGATTACCCTGGAAATATGCCCTCGGAATGCTGTTATTACCCATGTTTTCCAGATGAGGCGCTGCTGAGCCGAGGGCGCACCTTGGCCAGCACATTCCTTAATAAGCACCGTAAGTGGGTGGCCGGTAGATATTGTGGCCTCTCCTGCTGCATGAGCAGGTCTGGGTGAGCCCTGGGCTGAGGAGCACTGACTCGTTTACTGTGATTATCAGAAGCACCCAGAAGACCAATACATCTTTTTTTAAATTAATTAATCTTTATACATTTAGTTTTGGGTGTGCCCTAGCTTTCTCTACTTGTGGCGAGCAGAGGCCACTCTCTAGTTATGCTGCACCAGCTTCTGACTTTCACGGCTTCTCTGGTCATGGAGCAGGGCTCCAGGGCACTTGCCTTTAGTTGTAGCACACAGGCTTAGTTGCCCCTTCAGCATGTGGAATCTTCCCAGACCAGGGACTGAACCCACGTCCTCTGCGTTGGCAGGCGGTCCAGTGGTTACTGGACCACCAGGGAAGTCCCCTTATACCTCTTGAGTAACTTGGTTCAGACATGCAGGTTGGAGCCGGGTGGCCATGGTGGATGTGGTTTCAGACAAATTCCTGTATCACCAAGAACCTGTATTTTCTGAACTGTGTCAGAACTGGGGACACTGCAAACCATTTCCAACACAATATTTCCCAGCAGCTGCCAATGGCAACCTTGGAGTTTCAAAGCTCCCGCCCCCACTTCTCAACTACATAATCCTTTTGAACCCCAACCAGTTTTATTTAACAAGCACGCTTAGTTTCACCAGCTCCAGTCCCAATTCTTGGCAAACAATTTTTGTAATCTTGCATTTTTTTTGACATTTCTAAGTCTCCCATTGTACAGTCAGTCCTGCAGGATACAATTCAAGTGCTTCTTGAATCTGTGTCTCGCAGGCTGCAGTCCCAACACGCCCAAAGAAACGCCTCCTTATTTCAACCACGTATCCATTCTTGGAATCCTTGGTTAGCACTCTAAAAATTCAGCTTCTGCAATTAGATCAATTCCTTTTATTTTCATATACAGCTTCTATAAAACTCTAGAGAGACGTTACACAAGTTCTTATCTAAAAATGTCTCCTGTGAGAATTCCCTGGTGGTCCAGTGGTTAGGGTTCCAGGTTTCCATTGCAGGGGGCATAGATTTGGTCCCTGACCAGGGAACTAAGATCCTGCATGCCATGCAATGCATCCAGAAAAAAATCTGTTTTTTTTGTTTTCCAGTTTTCAAGCTTCCTTTAAAAAGATACTTAGTCTTGACAAGTCTGTGCTAAAAATATTAGTCACTAACAGGAATGCCAAATACATATTTTCCTAGAGTATAATTTGGCAATATATGTTAGGAATCTAAGATAAACTATCTTTTTATCTGTCATTCCACTTCAAAGAATCTATGCTAAGAAAGTAACCAGAAAAGTTTCTACTACAGAGCACAAGTACCTATATTCAAAACTCTGTGACAAACTATAACAGAAAAGAATATGAAAAAGAACATATATACAGGTAGAGCAGGTTCTTAATTTTAATTAAAAGATGCTTGCTCTTGGGAAGGAAACCTATGACAAACCTAGACATCATATTAAAAAGCAGAGACATTACTTTGCTAACAAGGGTCCATATAGTCAAAGCTATGATTTTTTCAGTAGACATGTAAGCATGTGAGAGTTGGACCATAAAGAAAGCTGAACACTGAAGAATCAGTGCTTTCAAATTGTGCTGCTGGAGAAGACTTCTGAGAGTCCCTTGGACTGCAAGGAAGTCAAACCAGCCTATCCTAAAGGAAATCAACCCTGAATATTCATTGGAAGGACTGTTGCTGAAGTTGAAGCTCCAATACTTTGGCCACCTGATGAGAAGAACTTACTCATTGGAAAAGACCCTGATGACTGGGAAAGATTGAAGGCCGGGGTGAAGGGGATGACAGAGAATGAGATGGTTGGATGGCATCACCAACTAGATGGACATGAGTTTGAGCAGGTTCCGGGAGATGGTGAAGGACAGGGAAGACTGGCATGCTGCAGTCTATGGGGTAGCAAGGAGTTGGACATGACTTGGTGACTGAACAAGGACAAAAACAAGTCCAGTGAAATATTTTTAATACTGAGAAGCTGGAGACAGACTGACTATCAAATAATAGATGATTAAACAAATTCTTGTAACTCCATGTGATGAAAATAATGCTGTCATGAAATACCATGGAGAAATACTGGAGACAACCTTGAATGTGTGAAAATACAATATTATGTGTACACATAGTACATTAAATCCCAATGTTTAATGTGTCAAACATTAGTACATTTCATGAGCTTTCCAGGTATGGTGTAAAACCAGACAGATGTGCAAAGACTGAAGAAAGCCACACACTCTCAAGACACTGGGACTCTGACAAGTTTCTGTTTTCTTCTTCTTAATGTTTGTAACCTCCCCCAGCTTTCCACAACACTCGTTTCTCTTACAACTAGAGAATCGGTGAATGATGTTTAAGAACCTCTGAGGGGCACAGAACAGGGAAAGAAAAGCAGTCACTACATCAAAGTCAAACTGCTGAGGACAACAAACCTTGTTTCCAGTTAGATGACAGGAAAATCCAAATGCCCCACAGAAGATGATGAATTCAGTGAAAGAGAATTCCCTCATGCTCTCTCTACTCCTTCTCAGTGAATCATTTGCCCCAGGCGCTCCCTTGAGGGTCTAAAAGTCTTGGCTGTGGCCCAGATTATGAATCTGTCCTTAATCAGAGTATCACTAGAGAGAGAGGAAACACTGGAGTGAAGGTGGGCTGGGAACAGAGGGCGAGGCTTGAGGTTATTTCTGTGGGTGGGGGTGCCGAGCAGTGACGGCCACTTAGGGACCTGCACTGGGAGTCAGCACACACGTCCATGAACGCTTGGCTGAAAACTCTCCAGTGGCTTGCAGCTGTTTAGAGTGGTGCCTCAGAGGCTATCACAAGGATCAGCTCAGGGACCTGAAGACAGCAAGGCGAGTTTCAAACCAGACAAGCGAGTTTGAGAATTAAAATGTCAACTGACACTGACAGCCCAGAAAAGAACCTAGAGCATTTTCTGGTGGCCCCAAGTGTTGTATTTATTTATTTCCTTTTTTTGCCTGAGCTGGATCTTCCTGGTGGCATGTGGGCTTTCTCTAGTGGCGCACACTGGCTTAGCTGCCCACAGCAAATGGGATCTTAGTTCCCAGAAGAAAGTGAAGTCGCTCAGTTGTGTCCGACTCTGCGACCCCATGGACTATAGCCTACCAGGATCCTCAGTCCATGGGATTTTCCAGGCAAGAATAATGGAGTGGAGGACAAGATGGAGTTGTTGCAGGTCCTGAAGCGCGGGCTGCAGCAGGTCAGCGGCCACGGTGGCCTCCGCGGCTATCTTCGAGTTTTGTTCAGGGCAAATGATGTGAGGGTTGGCACGTTAGTGGGAGAAGACAAATATGGAAATAAATACTATGAAGACAACAAGCAGTTTTTTGGCTGTCACCGATGGGTTATATATACTACTGAAATGAATGGCAAAAACACATTCTGGGATGTGGATGGAAGCGTGGTGCCCCCTGAATGGCATCGTTGGCTTCACTGTATGACTGATGATCCTCCAACAGGAAAACCACCTACTGCTCATAAATTCATTTGGACAAACCATAAATTCAATCTGAGTGGCACTCCACAACAGTACGTACCTTATTCCACAACTAGAAAGAAGATTCAGGAGTGGGTCCCACTTTCAACACCTTACAAGTAAAGACAATGAAAAGCAATTTACATGTAAAATATGGGGCTTTTCCTATAATTGTACTGGTTACTGTTAACTTGATTAAAGTTATTTGATTAGGCAAAAAAAAAAAAAAGAATACTGTAGTGGATTGCATTTCCTTCTTCAGGGGATCTTCCCAACCTAGGGATGGAACCCGGGTCTCCCACATTGTAGGCAGACGCTTTGCTGTCTGAGCTACCAGAGAAGCCCAGAGCAGGGATCAAACCCACGTTTCCTTCATTGCAACACAAACTGTCTACTACTGGACCACCAGAGAAAACCCAAAAGTATTTTTAAGGTTCAAAAAATCTTGACTATTCCCAAGATTAGGGCTTCCCAGGTGGCGTGCTGGTCAAGAATCCGCCTGCCAATGCAGGAGACACAGGAGACTCAGATTCAATCCCCGGGTCAGCAAGATCCTCTGGAGGAGGAAATAGCAACCCATGCCAGTATTCTTGCCTGGGAAATCCCATGGACAGAGGAGACAGGTGGGCTACAGTCCAGGGGGTGCAAAGACTCGGACACGACTGAGTGCCTGAGCATACACACATTTCCAAGATAAAGCAAAAATAACCTACTTAATTTAAAAAAACAAAACTGGTAATCCAGGTTTCAGGTTTGTTTGTTGTCTCTTAAGAAAGACATTCTGGAACTGGAAACATCCCAAGCCTGTTCCTCAACAAAGCAATTTACATGTAAAATATGGGGCTTTTCCTATAATTGTACTGGTTACTGTTAACTTGATTAAAGTTATTTGATTAGGCAAAAAAAAAAAAAAGAATACTGTAGTGGATTGCATTTCCTTCTTCAGGGGATCTTCCCAACCTAGGGATCGAACCTGGGTGTCCCACATTGTAGGCAGACGCTTTGCTGTCTGAGCTACCAGAGAAGCCCAGAGCAGGGATCAAACCCACGTTTCCTTCATTGCAACACAAACTGTCTACTACTGGACCACCAGAGAAAACCCAAAAGTATTTTTAAGGTTCAAAAAATCTTGACTATTCCCAAGATTAGGGCTTCCCAGGTGGCGTGCTGGTCAAGAATCCGCCTGCCAATGCAGGAGACACAGGAGACTCAGATTCAATCCCCGGGTCAGCAAGATCCTCTGGAGGAGGAAATAGCAACCCACGCCAGTATTCTTGCCTGGGAAATCCCATGGACAGAGGAGACAGGTGGGCTACAGCCCAGGGGGTTGCAAAGACTCGGACACGACTGAGTGCCTGAGCATACACACATTTCCAAGATAAAGCAAAAATAACCTACTTAATTTACAAAAACAAAACTGGTAATCCAGGTTTCAGGTTTGTTTGTTGTCTCTTAAGAAAGACATTCTGGAACTGGAAACATCCCAAGCCTGTTCCTCAACAATGGAGCAACTTCTTAAACATGGAAGGATTCCAAACTAGATTCTTCATTCATAAAAATGGCACCTGGAGTCCAGCAGTCATGAGAAAAGAGAAAATTTCCACCAACTTCTGTTTCAGCAGGGCAGGGGAACTGAGATGAGCATCAGAGAAGGGGAAACTCATACTGAACACTCACTTATGCGAGGGGATGTCTTCAGCTGGTGACTCAGGTCAATTCGTTGAATGCCCTTAAACATTGCTTGAATGTTGATACTATGATTACAACTCTGCCTGAGGAAATGGGGACACTGAGACCAAGGGTTGATCTGACTTGCACTGAGAAATGTTGCAGTCATCAGAGAAGCTGGAATCCGATCCAGACGGTGTGGTTCTGAAACTACACAGTCCAGATTGGGGCTTGAACCCACTGTCCTGGGATTGGATGCATCTGGTGCTAGTTAATAAAGTTCAGGTTCTCATGTCGCGTCCCAGAAAGAATTCAGGGAGAGACAAACTGAGAGGTAACAAGTGGATTTAGTTAGATACATATTCCATACACAGCCCATCTCAGAAAGCAAGAAAGACCTTGGGAGAAACATACTTCACAGAGTGTGAGCTATCTCAGAAGGTGGGAAGCCATGAAATATGGGTGGTTAGTTCTTCAGTTCATTTCAGTTCAGTTACTTAGTCATGTCTGACTCTTTTCGACTCCATGGACTGCAGCACACCAGGCTTCCCTGTCCATCACCAACTCCCAGAGTTTGCTCAAACTCATGTCCATCGAGTCAGTGATGCCATTCAACCATCTCTGTTGTCCCGCTTTCCTCCCGTCTTCAATCTTTCCCAGCATCAGGGTCTTTTCAAATGAGTCAGTTCTGTGCATCAGGTGGCCAAAGCACTGGAGTTTCAGCTTCAGCATCAATCCTTCCAATGAATATTCAGGACTGTTTTCCTTTAGGATTGACTGGTTTGATCTCCTTGCAGTTCAAGGGACTCTCAAGAGTCTTCTCCAACTGCTGCTGCTGCTAAGTTGCTTCAGTCGTATCTGACTCTGTGCGACCCCACAGACAGCAGCCCACCAGGCTCCCTGGTCCCTGGGATTCTCCAGGCAAGAACACTGGAGTGGGTTGCCATT